AAATGTGAGGACTGGCGAGATGACGCAGTGGGTAGAATGTTGGCTGCCAAGCCCGTGGACCCAAGTTCAGTTCCTGGAAATCACACAGCTGAAGGAGAGGTGGGACTCCTACAGGTTGGTCTTTGACTAGGTGAGTACAGAAACATGAACAAATTAAAAAAAAATTAGGACACAGTTTGAGTTTTGCTCTTGTTCAATGGGGGCATGGCTGCGAGTTTTGCTCTTGTTCAATGGGGGCATGGCTGCGAGTTTTGCTCTTGTTCAATGGGGGCATGGCTGCGAGTTTTGCTCTTGTTCAATGGGGACATGGCTGCGAGTTTTGCTCTTGTTCAATGGGACATGGCTGCAAACTTGCCCTTTTCTTTTTTGAACTGAGGACTTTGACTGGCCTACCTCATTCCAGGCAAACATTCTATTATTAAACTATATTCTCAGTCCTTTTGTTTTAATTTGAACAAGATCTCACTGATCCTTTACCTCAGTTACAGAGTAGTTGTGGTAACAAGCCTGATCCACCAAGTCTGGATGACATCAAACACTTCTGGGGGATAATTAGGTCGTGATATCACGGACGACCATCAGGATTATTAACGCTTTTATTGTGTGTGCATGTGTGCTGTTAGAACTTCACTCATAACGCAAGTACTCAATACCGAGGGAAGCCTCGCAGCCTGGCCCACTGCTCATTTCTGAAAAACCTTGAGGTATGGCTTACCTCAAAGGAGCTTTTGATAGTAGACTAGACCTTCAGCTTCTCCCTGAGAAGAACACTCTGAGAGCACTTGTTTTCCTTTAGCATGAATGATCTTAACCCTTACATCAACCCTATAAGGAGTCATCTGTATCACATATGGAACACCAAGGTTCTGAAAGCCAAAGTGCCCCATGCCAGACATACGAAGATTCGTAAAGCATGAGAGCCCTATTCAAATCAATCTCCGTACCTTACTAACTAGAATCCACCAGCGACACTCTGAATTTCTATTGCACTGTCATGGTGAGCTGACATCACATGTCCACCTCCAACTATGCAGATGAACGTTTGGGCACAAGGAAAGATGCCTTATGCAGTCTTCCCTACCGAGGACCATGAGAAGCACTTTAGGGAAGTATCTCAACTAATCATCTTCTCTTTTGCTTTGCTTTCCTTCCTTCCTTTTCTTTCTTTCTTTCTTTCTTTTTTTTTTTTTTTTTTTGGTTTTTCAAGACAGGGTTTCTGTGTAGTCCTGGCTGTCCTGGAACTCACTCTGTAGACCAGGCTGGCCTCGAACTCAGAAATCCACCTGCCTCTGCCTCCCAAGTGCTGGGATTAAAGGCGTGCGCCACCATCGCCCGCCCCTTCCTTTTCTTCTTTGATACTATGTTGCCCTGGCTAGTTTGGAACGTGCTATGTAGGCCAGACTGGCCTAGAATTCAGAGGTCAGCCTGTTTCTGCCTCCTTAGTGTCTCTCCAGCTCCACTCATCTTTCCAACAGCTCTGGGAAATCTGGCTCACCATTGTCTGGGTGCTGGGGACTGAGCCAAGTGCCTTGAGCATGTTAAACATGACACTCTTACAAGCCCAGCCACAACACCTTCACAGTACACATGGGGGCTACCAAGGTGGTGAGAAGTGAAGTAACTTGCCCAAAGTAGCTTAGCTAAAAAAGAGAATTACGTTCTTAGGTACCAGACTGCAGGCTTAGACATCCCTTTATACTTTACTCTCCTAGTATAAAATGGAAAAGATTGCCTGTCAAAGAATCAAGGTAGAATGTTCTTCTCCACGAATATTGAGAGCCTCAAGAATGTTAAGACAATACACAGTAATGGTGAAACCAGGAGTGGTGACTCATCTCTGTAATTCTAACACTCAGGAGGCTGGGGCAGGTGAATTACTGCAAGTTGAAGGCCAACCTGGGCAACAGAATGAGTTTTAAACCAGCCTGTATTACAGCATAAGAACTTATCTCAAAAACCAAAACGAAACAACAGTAACAACAACCCCCCCCCATAATCTCAAACCCCAAAACCAAACAAACCAACAACAACAAAAAAGAAATTAAAGTGTAACTATCTGGTATTTCAAAATTCTGATTTCTAATGGCTGTACAAACACTCCCTGGGGGATGTTCACTGACTACTCAACCTGAACCCTCAGGAGGAGACATGAGCGAAGGACAGCCACTATACCCCATCCTCCCAGAACTTGGTTTGGTGCTGAAAAAGCTAAAGTGAAATTTTTTAAAAAGTTGAAAGTAAACCAAAACACATTTCATAACATGAAAAGCACATTCAACTCAAAATGTCAATGTGGAAAATAAAACTTTATTAGAACACTTATTCAGACACACTTGTTTACACGTAGTCTGTGGAGAATTTTTAAACAGCAACATGAGGTAACAAGCTGTTGCTTGGCTTATGTACTTAAAATCTAAGATATTTACAATCTGGGCTTTTACAGAAAATGTTTGCTGATCTGCTCTATAAGGATTTACACATCTACACCCAGTTTGAACATAACTCCCCCTACCCCCGGCCCCACACACTTTTTTTTTCTCCCAAAAAGAACACTAAGGTTGCCTTCCTCTGGTAAAACAATGTTGCCATCTTGGAATGATTTGAAAAGACACCTGAGATTACTGTTCCAGTGGTGTACTGACAGCTTGACAAACCCCTATCCTCTCTTAAATACACTGGTCATCCTTGGTGCTGTAGCTAAGTCTTAGTGGCAGCTCCTCCTTCTGAAGTTTGTCTTGTCTGAGTTACAGGTTGAGCTTCATAGAATGAGTTCATCCAGGATTCCTGAATCATTAATAGGGGCCTTTCATTTTTCACTCTCAAACTCTTACACTTTCTGCTGTGAATCCTTTTTAACATAAAACTAGTACTAAATGGCCTATACGCGAAAACAAAGTTCACTTTTTTTTTTTTACTTTTAAGAAATCAGAATTTTTAAAAATGCTTTCTCTTGAGAAGCTAAATTTAAATTTTGCAGTTCACAGAAGAAAATCTCTTCATAGTCAGTGATCTCAAAGCCCCTCTGGTAAGATCTTGTGCGCTTATTTTTAAATACTATTTCCTGGAGAAAATATATTTAATGGAAAAGACATGACTAGTAACAAATCAAGTCTAAGGCTCTCCCTGGTTCTGCCAGCGACTCCCTTTGACTTTGGGCAAATCATCTTACTACTGTTGCTCTTTATCTGCAAAAACTGGACTTCATGCCTATGGGAGTTGCATGGTTAATCAATGCCTGGAAAATGCGTAGTGGCAGATGCTACAAAAGTGCTGAGCCTTAAAAACAAAACCACCCCCAGCTCCCATTTGTATTCCGTTGAGGTTGAGGTTTATTGTTATTTAACATAGGAAGGCTAACACTACGTTAAGTCCAGCGTGTAGCTCAGGAACAGAGATCACTGTCCAGATGAGATTTTTTTAAGAGCTAGGATTTTTTTTTTTACTTTAAAAAAAATAATGTGGTTGGGGGTTATTTTACAACCCAACAATTCACTCGTGCAAAAGCATTAAGCTTCAAGTTGAAAACTATCGATTTAATAATTTAAATGAACCTCCTCAATGATTTAAAAAAAAAAAAAAGAGAGAGGCCCTCCCCGCCCCGCCAAGAAATCTCTGAAAACAAGAATTCTTCTGATGTCGCCCCCCCAACCCCCGCCCCTGCAGTTCTCCATGTTACATACAGTCCTTGGAGGTGGACTAGGCATAAAATACTTTCACTAATAAAATATGACAAACCGCCGGATTATACGTGGCCGATTCCCAGTGATTGCCCTGCTACACAAAGCAGAAAAGTAAATGCCATCATCCCCCTTTAGAACAAAAGAACTTAGGAATAAAAAACATGGAGAGGGGGGCAGAAAGCAGCAATAAATAAAGGTGAGCGAAGGACCCCGTCCCCCGCCCCTCCCCGGAGCTAGAGTGGGACTCGGTACGGCTAATAAAGTGGTTCAAGGGTAGTTATTTGCAAAGGGGGCGGGGTGGCCGGGGATTGCATGTTGCATTCGACTTGAGCTTGCATCTTCTCCTGTTGCCTGGACCACTCGCTCCCCCATTGCAGTGCTTCCTCCTCGCTCCTGCCTTCTTTCCACCCCCACCCCTGCAAACTGCTGTTGCACTGGAGGGAGTTGGGGTTGCTCGGGAGCCCCCCAGCAGCTCCCGACGGCGGGAGGGGACCGGGGCTCGGGCCTGGCCGGGGCTGCGGCGCGGCGGCGGGCCGGGAGTTTGGCGGCCGCTCGGCCCCAGCGCCGCCGCCGCTGCACCGGAGTTTGGCTGCTGCTGCCCTACTTCACTCTAGTTTAGTTTCACTCACTTTACATCCGGGTTTTTTCCCTAGGCAATGGGTGCCGCAGCACACCCCGTTCCTTAGGCAAAGTGAAATAAATTCGCCGCACCGACACGTCAAGTAGTCCGCCCGCCCGAGCGCCGCCGCGGGCCCCCGCCGCCGCCCCGTGCCCCCGTGGGGTCCCCCGCGCCTCCCGCGAGCGACGGGCTCACACGCAGGGGTGCGGGGCGGCCCGGGACCGCCGCGGTCCGGCTCCGCCCGGCCCCCGCCCGCCTGCCCGCTCTCCCTCGTCCCCGCTTCTCCAGCTCCAGTCCCTCTCGCCCGGCTCTCGGGAGCGGCGGGGGCGCGCACGGCGGCGGCGGCGGGCCGGCGGGGCCGCGCGGCGGGCTCCCGCGCGGGCGAGTGTGTCTGGGCCTGGGCGGAGGGATCCCCGGGCTGAGGCGGCGGAGGTGCTGCGGCCCGGGGCCGGGTGGTGAATGGGCTGGTGGTGCTCGCTGCTGCTGCTGAGAGGAGGAGGAGGAGGATGAAGAGTTGGGCTTGTTTGTCTCCCACAGTTTCTCTCCTGCTGCTCTGATTCCTCCCTCCCCATTCCGGCCCGGGGCCTGTGTGTGTCTCTCCTGGAGGAGGAGGAGGCTCCAGTTCCTCCCCCCACCCCCTCCTCCCCACCCCCCCTTGCCTGGGGAAGAGGAGGAAAGAAACAGCCCAGAGAGAGAGAGAGAGAAAGAGTGTGAGTGAGTGAGAGAGAGGAGAGGAGGAGGAGGAGGGAGAAGGGAACAACCTACCATCTTAACACACTAATATCTAAAAAGTGCGAGAGGCCCAGAGCAGCAGCAGAAGCAGCAGCAGCAGCTCCAGCCTCTTCCCTCCCTCCCCATGAAGAAGAGTTCCCTCCTCCTCCTCCTCCTGCTTCTCCTGCTCAGAGTTCCTGCCTCCAGCTGCCAGGGGGGACAGCCAGCCAGCAGCAGGAGGGTGCAGTATCCCAGCTTTTCCATTCTCTTTTCCTCACTCTCTCTCTTTTTTTTCTTGAGTAGCTCTATTTCCCCTCCCTCCCCCTTCCCCCCTCCCTCTCTCCCTCTGTCTTGTCTCTGGTGTTTGTCTCTGGGAAGGAGCAGGGGCTGCTTGCTTGGAGTTTGTTGTGGGGGGGAGGTAGGGGGAGGGGAGGGGTGTGTGGGAGGGAGGAGGGAAAGGGGGTGTTCTTGTCAGGACCCCTCAGTCAACTTGAGATTTCAGCAATAACTTCCCCTTCGGGGCGCCCCCCTGCGTGCCCTTTCCTATTCCTCTCCACCCCCCAGGAAAAAAAAAGACAATGGGAATACCTCGTCTCCCCCCTTCCTCCCCTCTGCCCTCCACCCCTCCCTAGGATAGATTGGAAGTAAGTTTATGAGCAGCCTCGGGAGCCTGGGCGCTGAGTACAGGGCCAGAGCGGGTGACAGGGGCGGCGCGTCGGGGGTGGCGGCGAGGGGGCGACACAGAGTCCCCGCGGGGGGTCGGGCTGGGGGGCCGCGGGGGCGGGGGTCGCGGGCCGAGGCCGCCCCCCGCGAGTGCCTGCGGCCGGGGGATGGCCGCTGGGCCCCTTCCCCACCCCCACCCCCTGGGATGCTGTCGGGGGGGAAGTTTTTATTATGGTTATTTAATTTAAAAAAATTTTTTTTGAGGAAAACCATCTTGTTTGGTGACTGAGAGATCTGGTTTAAAAAAAAAAAAAAAAGCTGCGGCTGCTGACGCTGCCGGGCCCGAGTGTGTGTGAGTGTGTGTTGGTGCATTTGTCTTGGGTGGCCGGAGCAGCGTTGGGGAAATTCCGCTTATTCTTCTTCTTCTGCAACTTGTTATTCCGAGGAGTCCGCCTGCACCCCTCACCCCGGGGCGGCCCTCCCGCCGTCGCCGCCGGCCGGCCGCCCCGGGACCCCGCGCGGGCCGGGGACTCACAGGCCCCTCAGAGAGGGGCCGCGGCCGCCCCTCCCCCCCGGGCCGCGGGGGGAGGGGCGCGCGGAGTGGGACTCTTTCCGTTTGGTCCAGCCCCGCGGTGCACGCAGTTCCCAACACTTCTCGTCATCCTCTCTCTGCTCTCTTTATTCTGCTGAGCGGTGCTGTTAGGATTTCTCTCTCTCTCTCTCTCTCTCTCTCTCTCTCTCTCTCTCTCGCTCTCGCTCTCGCTCTCGCTCTCGCTCTCGCTCTCTCTCTTTTTTCCTACCTCCTCTTCCTCCCTTGACCACGCTCGCAATGGTGGGTAGCTGCAAGGTGGCCCTGGCAGGGGAGGGGTTTGATGTGGACACTGGGGCACCGGGCGAGAGAGGTCTCCTTTCAACTTTGTCTTGTGGCTTGCACCCCGGGAGGAGGCCACATGCTGATTGTAGGGTGTAGACGTGCCGGGAGTGATTTCTAAGTAGTTGAGTTGTTGAGATGAGGGTAAGACGGCTAGTGGTAGGCAGGTTTTGTTTTTCTGGGTGAATCCGGTGTCATCATATTCCGGTCATATGTTGAAATATTCTTTGTTTAGGTCTTGAAGTAGAGGTTCTCCCTCTGCACGTCCACATTGTGTTGTTTTTAAATGATGTCTCCGAGAGTATGGATTTCTAGAATCACAAATGTGATTTTAAGGTCTCGGCATGTGTGGGCCTCAGTACTGGCCTTGACAGTGAACTTTATGGCTGTGTTTTTGGACTTCTAAGATTTTATCCCATAGCTGGGATGCTAGTTATGCTTTTTCTTAATGGTAGATATCAGGAATGTAGAGTCTTGAGGAAGTTAGAGAGGGAAGGGCATTTATTTATTAATAATTGATAGCTGAATGTTGGAATCAGATTCTTTTGGGCTGGTTGAAGGTTTTGATTTTTTTTCTTCCCTTTTTTCTTTAAAGCTAACCTGCACTCTAGGAAGCCTTTTGGCAGGCATTCTTTATGGTGGCTCTTTGGGGCATGGGGAGGGGGGGCTATCACCTTTTAGAGAGGTCTTCAGCATCGTTTGTAGCTTTATTGAAGGCCTGTTCAGGAGGCTGATATTGAGGCTAATAAGTGTAAGGCTGCTTTTCAGAAAAGTATTTATGTTACTTGTTTACATTTCATGTTTCCTCACGTTTTGGCAGTAGAAATAAATAGGTCATTGTTCCTATTGGTTTTTGAAGGTTAGCCCCCTCCCCCTCAAAGTTTTACCATCTACTTGGTTTACAGCCTTGTAGGAAAGCATTACTGATTTTTCCCTGGGAATACTGTTACTTATTTTAATTTCGGTAAGTTCCTTGCTATTTTCTTCTGTCTTCACTTTATATATGGAATCTGTTGTGAGCTTAGCATTAGCTTGCCGAGGGCCATTTTAAATGTCTAAGAATACATTTTAAAATCTCGGAACATGTTTTGATGGCAAAGAGGAATTTTTTGATGTAGTAATGCTCATGTTTATTAAGAATTTCAGTACTCAGCACTTCAGTGTGTGTGCAGCTATCCTTAAGTGAAGAATGTAGTAATAGTGCAGAAAACTCTGACAGCACAGACCTCTGACTCACATGCTAAAACCATCTCAGGGGCTTTCTCTTACTTGAGACTTTTGATTTTGTTAACTCAATATGTACATTCTGACTGGCATTGCTTGGTTGCCTATTATAGAAAGCCTTTCTTCTTCTTTTTTTTTCTTTATGTACTATTGGAGTCATTTTTAACTTAAGTTTTTGGACAGCTTCACAAAGGTTTAAGGTGGTCAAACTTTGGACACAGGCAAATCATTATGGAGCCGGAAGAATAATACACTGAGAAGACATCTGGCTGGGCCATACTTTGTTTTAAAGGGATAAAAGTGATGGATGGGACACCGGTTCCTTTGGTTTTCAATGGCCCACCCTTTCTCTCCGTTCAATTATCTGGAAGGAGCTGCTTCAGAAACACTCTGTTTACAAGAAGATCTCTAGCACTATCCAGCAGGAGGTGCTACATCAAGTTAAAGGGGATCTCTTAATTTTGAGGGTCTTATTGAAGTTCTCTTCTTACTGAAGTTCTCTTAGCTCAGCTAAGCAACAGGAGTAACGTTCCAGGAAGATTTTGAGTAAGTCTGTTCTAAAATACTATTGCTATTTGAAATCTGCTTTTTACCTGCCTATGCTACTATGCAGAATAACATTGTCATTGTGGATGCTGGGTTAAGAATAGGGTACTATTAGAATTATTTTCCTTCAAAAGGGAACTAGTTTGATATTAATAAGTAGAGTATCGAACATAATTTGAAAAAAATTCTTTGAAGTTGCAATAAACAAAAATAAGTAGCATGATGTGGGCTTCAGCCCTTGTAAACATTAATAGAAATAAGATAGACAGACATTTTTGGAAAAAGAGATATTGCTTGGGGTTCAGGTTTCTTGTATCTTTCTCTTTCTCTTTGAATCTATGGACAGTGGTTTTAATCTAGATGCCTTCTTAGGCTTTCAACTTTATAGATACAGTTGCTATATTTCAGTTGGCCCTCAAAGACTGTGATTTTTTGAAACTATATATGAAATTAAGTGGAGTGCTTGAAATTAAGTGGAATACTTGGCCCATAATCCTAGTAAGTTTAGGCAGGAGGTACTCCAAGACTCATTGGTAGCCTGGTCTACACTGTAAGACCTTGTCTCAAGAAAAATAAACAAACCTGAAGGAAAGTAATACCCGTTGGTATAAATCTTTGTTGGTGTGTCCATTAGCAACTTTTAATGATGACTGTATAAAGAAGAAAGTAGCTACTTTAACATTTTCATGGCATCTACAGTAGAGTCCTTTGAAAGTCTCAGTGTTAGATAAATTGATTGTGAGTCAAACCGCTGTTATTTGTTTGTAAAGTTTTGTGTCAAAGTTTTGAAAGCTTAAAAACACATAGAAAATTTGATGGACCTACTTTGAATTTTGTAAGTATAGTATTGTGTGGAGTTTTTTTTTTTTTTTCCAGTGAGATCATATTAGGTAGTTCTTGTGAAATTTCATTGTGAATTGCCAGAAACCATGTAGATGTTGTTTATGAGATATATAACAGATTAAAACATGAACAAAGTTTTGCTTTAAAACGCTAAGTTCTTCCATATCAGTTAGGAGATGAATGCATTAAAAGCACATGCCAAACACTAAGAATTTAAATACTGCCCTGGTTACCCTAAATCTCTTTGTTACAGTTTTGAAGCTTTTGTTAAGAAAAAAAAATGCTGCTAAGCAGTTTTCCATAATTAAAAAGAAATCAGTTTTTGCTTTTGAAGGTAGTGTGAAATATATGTCCCCTATTAAAAGTTGTCTTCCTTTTTCTCTTGTTTGGTAGCAGTTGACTTTAGTGAATGTTTAAGTTCCTGGTCTCTTCTGTACACTTGTATTAATACACAGAGTAACAGATGTCCCTGCTAACATTTTGATTGACTCTGCTAACTTTCTGAAAAAGGCTCACTGACAAAAGCTTACTAATTTGTTTCATAGTGAAATATATATTGTTATACATTCATGTTAGACAAATAGATATATTATTTTTGTCTTCTCCTTTTAGAAGATTATGTAAGGAAATGACTACTCAGTTCTAGAGGCTTAAATACTCTGTGTGTGTGTGTGTGTGTGTGTGTGTGTGTGAGAGAGAGAGAGAGAGAGAGAGAGAGAGAGGGCGAGCAAGAGTATCAGAGCATGAGCACATGTGCACATGCAGTTTTCTTGATAAACTCTGCTTACAAATTTAGAATGGTAAACTTAATAAGTTAGGTAGAGTAGGAATTGGCAATCCTTGTGTTTAGGAGTAGAGTATTGTGAATTTTATAAATGACTGTTCTTCATGAAATAGCCCGAAGTTAGAAAGTAAGTATAAAAACTTGTTCTTAGGAAGAGCAAGAAAAGCATTAAACTGTTTAGATAAGAAGGAAACCTCTTATGATGATGGTAACTTTTTATGCCACAGTGAACACTGAGCTTATTTATTTGGTGAAGAAATACTGAAGTTAAGGTTACATCAGTATGTTTTAATTTTTTTTTGTACTTAGT